ATCTTAAAGTTCTTAAATTTTTTTTTTTTAATGTTTATTTTTGACAGAGAGAGAGAGAGAGACAGAGTATGCGTGGGGGAGGGGCAGAGAGAGAAGGAGACACAGAATCCAAAGCAGGCTCCAGGCTCTGAGCTGTCAGCACAGAGCCCGACGTGGAGTTTGAACTCACAGACCGCGAGATCATGACCTGAGCCAAAGTCGGAAGTTCAACCGACTGAGCCACCCAAGCGCCCTGACTCCATCTTAAAGTTCTTCAACGATTACTCTATACACACCATCTATACTACATTACCTTTTACAATCATCAACCCACTCCAACCTTGCTTTTGCTCCCCACTCTGAAACTGCTCGTCAAAATTATCAACCACCTCTGTAGTGACAAAATCAACGGCTCATCTTCAGTCCTCATCTTCCAGGATAAAACTCTATGGTTTGCACATATGTATTTTAATTCCATCTGACCTCTTATTCTCATCTATATTTTATCATCCTGTTTCTTGTATTTTCTTACTGCATATTTTCTTATGGAATTAAAATGTAGGGGCGCCTGGGTGGCGCAGTCGGTTAAGCGTCCGACTTCAGCCAGGTCACGATCTCGCGGTCCGTGAGTTCGAGCCCCGCGTCGGGCTCTGGGCTGATGGCTCGGAGCCTGCAGCCTGCTTCCGATTCTGTGTCTCCCTCTCTCTCTGCCCCTCCCCCGTTCATGCTCTGTCTATCTCTGTCCCAAAAATAAATAAAAAACGTTGAAAAAAAAATTAAAAAAAAAAAAAGTAAACTAAAGGGTATATCCAGAGAATTGCAAGTAAAACAACTGGGTGGGGCAGAGTGAAGGTAGTGGAATCAAGGCGGGTAGGTGGGGAAGATAAGAAAAGGCTGGATAAATAGTGAGTATTGGGCTACGGATTTGGACTTTGTTTGGCAGGTAATACGTAGCCATTAAAGGTTTTTATACAAGAAATGCTCAGCACTAGACCCTTGGGATGTTGGAAGACTATATCAGCAGCAAGTATAAAGTTATTTAGAGGGTGAAGAAACAGGAGGCAAGGAGATCATGTGGGATACGTATTACAGTAGAAAAGATAATCAGTGTAGTAGTGCTCAAAACGTAAAGGAGGAATCAACAGAAAGACATTACCACTAAACTCTAACCGAGTCCACTTTATTACCAGTAACAGAATAGCCGCCCCCAGACAAGAGATGTTAGACCTAAACATTCTTAGTCCTCAGTTCTACTAAGTTTGATTTGATAGAAACTAGCTGAATATGTAGTAAACACACAATTATCTTTCCCTGTTGTAAATACATAAACAATTATAGTATTGCTTCTCTCCTGAGTAAACAAAAATTTCAAGTAACTCATGCTTCTCAGAGTGAAGATCTGACAATGCCCAGCAGTCAGTTCTACTCTCATCATTACTTCCAGCCCCCCCCCCCCACCGTACTGATCTTCAATAAGTTAAGATCAAGAGGAAATAGAAATTTATGCAAAATAGGCTGGGGAAGGCAAGTTATCCCAAGTTAAACACAATCTCCTTTCTTTTTTTTTCCACAGGAAATAGTTGTTGATGCTCTGAGGAGTTAAATTATAATAACACATGCCAGGAAGATGATGTCAGGGAAGGCGTGGTTAGGCCCTTTACAAGTCTGAGATTCCTTCAGTTCCAAACATTGCCTCTTTCAACTCACCTATACTCAAAATCTCTCTACTGAGCTACTCTTTCTAACACTGAAGAAAAGAGTTGAGATCCTAGAACTCTGATCTTTTTACCTTAAAACAATTAAAAAAAAAAAGTTTTAATGAACCAAAGAGTAAGTGAAGGCCATTAAAACAGCTGTTTTTAAAACATGTACTACATTGTTTTGTAGAATCAGTCTTTGAAATCCACATTCCCCCCTTCTGTGACTATTTTAATTCTAGAGAAAAGAATGAATATTCAACACTACATCTTGAGAAAGAATCTGCCTTTATTAGGAGTTATACATTCCTTGACTGTATTCCTTTTTTACCATAACCAAAAAAGAGTAAGAAAACTACTATCATAGACTCCTCAGGTAACAAAGTCCCTGACAAATGAAGTACATGAATATGTTTCAAAATAAAACAAACCTACTTGTTAAGGTCAAGTAAATAAAATTAATACACTTTCAAGCAAGTCACAACACTAGGTAAAAATGGCTTTTCTGAGCTCACTGGCAATTATTCTTACTCTACAAACTAGAAGTGATGACTACAGTAAATTATGATGTAAAAATTCCCTTAAAGAAAGCAGATCTCTACAAATCTATTATACTAGATTTTTGTATAACATAATGATGGACAATAAAAGCAGATATTTATAATTTGTATTTTTCAAAAGTTTAAATTTTTATTGTTATTTCAGTTTTTTAAACATTTTGGACAAGTCCAAGAACTTTATTATACAGGCTTGATCTACTTGAGAAACAGCTCTTAATAGAAATGGCAAATAAGCCAAAGTCAAAATTAAAACTTTATCTTGTCATAGAAAAGCCTGGTAGGATACACACACCAAATTGCTACCAGTTATTTTCCTTGAGGGGTGGGATTTGGGTAAGGAACTTCCAGACATGAAGGGAAGACTTAACTTTTTATTTTATATGCCTCTTTATGCTTAATTTTTTTTTTAATGGGCAGGTCTTAAATTTATTACTAAAAACAAAAGTTATTTTAAAAATGTGACCTTGGTTATAAAAATTTACAAATTACATGAACAAATCCATCCAAACATTCTTCCTAAAAGAGAAATGAACACATGTCAACACAAAGACAAAGAACAACATAGTAATGTTTTAAATATACCCAATATTCACCAACCTACATATTTACACAAGGAGTCATATACATTGCTACAAAGTGATGTCATCATAACACAGACCTATAAAAACCCAAAGAATTCTTTTTTTTTTTTAATTTGAGAAAATGAGAGAGAGCGCGCACATATGTGTAAGCAGGATACAGGGGCAGAGGGAGAGACAGAATCCTAAGCAGGCAATAAGTTCAGCACGGAGCCCGACATGGGGCTCAATCCCACAACCCTGGAATAATGACCTGAGCCAAAATCAAGAGTTGGATGCTCAACTGAGTCACCCAGGTGCCCCATGAGCCAAAAGAATTCTTGACAAATACATTAATAAGTATGTACCTAACCATGTTTTCTCAATGGCTTCTCAAACCTTACAAGTTATCAGAAGAGACATGAGATTTGAATCCAAGTCCATAATTATGCTTCTTTGTCCCTTATGCTACCCTAGATTTAAAAGCTGGTTAAATATTTCCTATACTACAAGGCAGAAAGGGAGTGAAGAGAGCTAATTTAGACAGCATCAAATACATGAAACCCCTAAGAGGGAAAAAAACTAACTTCCAGAATTAATTTTACTTTATTTTAATGGGTGTGGGTAACCTGAGAGACTTGGAGAAAAAAAATTAAGAAGGAAAGTTTCATATAGTACTATATAAATTTTAAAAGGAACAAAAACAGATGTAATATCCTTCTATCAAAATCATATACTCATGGGGCACCCGGCTGGCTCAGTTGTAAAAGTGTGCAACTCTTGATCTTGGGGTCATGGGTTCAAGCCCCATGTTGGGTATAGAGTTACTTAAATAAATAAAACTTTTTCCTTTTTTTTTTTTTTTTTTAAGTTTATTTATTTATTTTGAGAGAGAGAGAGAGCATGAGCAGGGGACGGGCAGAAAGAGAGGGAGAAAGAGAATCCCAAGCAGGCTCCTTGCTGTCAGTGCTGAGCCCCACACAGGGCTTGAACTCATGAACCATGAGATCATGACCTGAGAGGAAACCAAGAGTCAGACGCTTAACTAATTGAGCCACCCAAGCGCCCCAAAACTTTTTTTAAAAATCGCATATTCATAAGTGTATGTCTATTACTGATAACCAACAAACATATAACTACCCATATTTCTTAAGGATATAAACCAGAATGAATGCCATTACAAACTGATTCTAAGTGTTTTGGGTCTAAACATTTACCAACTGCCTTGATCAGACACTTTAAGTTACCTATAGTAGCATCTTCAGGTATATGAGAAAGCAGCAGGAATCTTTCCCACACCCTCTAACACTCCATCAGATGGGCAAAAGATCCCTACACATCTAGGTCATCTTTTTTCTTCAAAGAACAGTTACAATGCCAAGAAAGAGGCTAAAGGGTCTTTCTCCTACAGCAAGAAGTTCCTCCTGATCAGCACTGTGTGCCCTGAAATGCCAAGAAACTGCCAAGGATACTCCCTAGTGAATGTGGGCATAACTGTCCACCTCTCATTAGACTGCCCATGTCCCCAAGCACGACACAATTCTCTGGCAACCCTGGGTTAATCACAAAAACTCTAAGGATCCCTGCTGAGCCTGGCCATCAGCAGAGGTCTAAGCAGCAGCTCAGCAGCAGAAACCAAAGAATCACAGAACTTTCTGCCTTAATCCCAAAGTATGTCTTCTCTTACCACTACTTCCCTATGGCTAGGTGGGGCAGTCTAGAGTATACCCTGTTCTTGATGAAGCTGTTGTGATTTCCCTGACTATAATTCCCCCACCTGATAATCCTGGTTGGGTGAGTAGAAAGGAAGGTTGCCGGAGAGGGGGAAAAACAGTTATTCAAAAAGATGAAAATAACTTCGGAGAGAGTGAGCACAGGACCAGGGTTTGAGATGACATTATTATCCCAATGGAGACTGGGTATATCAGCAGGAAGTCAAACTAACTTCATTTCACAAAGATACAAACTTGCAACTTTGATTTGTTTTTAATTCCCCTGCCTTCTCAGGCCTCATACACAGGGACTGTAAATTGCTGTAACTTCAAAACCAGGTGAGAAAAGATGCCGAAAGAAGTGGTGGAAAAGGGAGAGGCGTTGAGCAGAGAGAGGAATTCCGTTCCCCTCTTAAGAAGAATGTTAAAGCCAAGGGCACTCCCGGATCCCCAGGAAAGGAAGTAGCTGGATTCCAAAAAAGCACTTTTCCCTACCTTCTTGTTGTTCTTGTTACAGCCAAAAGTCGAAATCCCAGGCCTGGGAGTCACTGATAGCAGCATTTTCTCTTTAATGTAAGGGAGCTGAGAGAGAGAGGAGGGAGGGAAAAGGAGGGGGAAGAGAGGGGGGGAAGAGAAAATGAGAGGGAAAAGGGAGGGGGAGGAAAAAGGGGGAGAAAAGGAGCAAGAGGGAGAGAGATGGGGGGGCGGGAGAGAAAGAGCTGGGGCTGCTTGTTTACGTCACTGAGAGAAGTTAACCAAGAGTCTGAATAAGGCACTTCCACTGGGTCCTAATGCCCAAGATGTTATTTATTTATTTTTTTCCACAGTCTTAGTAGTTAAAGCAAAAGAAAAGTTCTTAGGTCTACCCCTTTCAACTCCATCCCTTCTCCAATATGAACAAGTTCTGTTTCTCCTGAAAAGACACTGAGGATTTTTTTTTTTCCCTTAGAGTTACAAGATTTAGAAAATGCTTTCAAGTTTGATTTTAAAGGGGCCACTGGGATACTCATGAAGACAACTCTACTGAGAAAGAATATGTGAGATGAGCTCAGGACTTTTCCCACACTTTATACTTACAGTGATCTTAAGACACGAAGAAAGAACAAACAGAAGAGCTCACCAAACAGCAGAGACAGACTGCGGGAAATAACTAGTTTCAGATCTGTGGATAGTTCTATTCCTCTTGACTCATGCTGATGGGCTGATGCTTTTCACCCCTTTTCAGATTCCCCCAGGCATCAGAATCCCCCAGGCATGATTTCACACTTAAGAAGGAATTATCAAACTTAACTATGCCATGAAACTTGGTGCCTAGTGATTTCTTTGCTTTCCCCCCAGCTTTATTAAGATAAAATTGCCTACCTAGCACTATCTTGTTTGATTCTTTATCCCACCATTTTCTAGTCTTCAAGGTCCATGAAGCTGAAACAGTTAAGAGTTACTCACCAAATCTGGAATTTATGCCCAAACTGAAGTTCACAGAGTTGGGATGTTTGCTTCAAGTTGTCTCTGAGCTGTAGAGCTGTAGGAAAAAATAACCGTAAAAAAACATAAGCTTCACAGAGAAAAAAATACAAAGTTCTCAGGGAAGAAGAACCTAACACAGTTGAGACAACACTCACCTCAAACAGTTTCAAAGTAATGTCCTGTGGAAGTAGCCTTAATAAGAAACTTGTAGGAAACCAAAAATTCCAGAATGACACCCAGTAATTCTTACCAATCCAAATGGAACAGGGATACAGAATCAAAGCCTTCAAATCTCTTCTTCAGGTCACCTTGTGCCATCATACATGTTCTCTTAAATTAACCTTGTCGGCTTTGCCACGACAAACATTAAGCCCAAACCCTTTCTTAAATGAAGTCCCAGTAGTCTCTATTCCAGTTTTCCTGTCACCTTTTTGCTGTGATAATGGGACCCACAGTACTAACATTCTGCAGAAAAAATACACACATATCACATACCACCCCCAAACTCTAACTTTCATTTCCAATAGGACAGGAAGTGCCTGCTCAGCTCAAGGGACACAGGAAGGGTGGGAGCAGCCTCAATGTGGGAACTGCAACTGAGATTGGAAGAAGAGCAGTCAAATGCAATAAATAAATTACTAAAAGGTATCTCTCAGCGCTACCATATTTTTTTAAGTCCCTTTTCTGCCCTCATAGATTTTCATTCATTATATGCCAAGTTATCCATGCCATTTAGGCCCTTAGTTGATTTCTTCTCCCTTACCCTAACAATGTGGCACAAAAACCTTAATCTCTAAGGCCTGATTTATAATGCCAGTCAACCTAATTTATTTATTTTTTTTTTAATTCTAACATTCTCGGGGGTCCTGGGTTGCTCAGTTAAGTGCCTGGCTTGATTTCAGCTTAGGTCATGATGTCAGAGTTTGTGGGTTTGAGCCCTGCAACAAGCCCTACATCTGGCTCCATGTTGAGAGCCTGCTGCCTGCTTGGGATTCTCTCTCCCTCTCTCTCTGCCCCTCCCCAGCTCACACACATGCACGTGAGCTTTCTCTCAAAATAAATAAACATTAAAAAAAATTCTAACATGCTCAATGTGTTTTGTTTTCCTACTGCATCCTTTAACACTCAATGGTATTTTAGAATTTAAAATAGTTAAAACTATGAGTTTTAGAGAGAGGCAGACATGAGTTCAAATGCTGACACTTTTGTAGTTACTACTTATGTGACTTTATGCCAGGGTACTTAACATCTCTAATTCACTCATTTGCAAAATGTAAATAATACCTACTTCATTAGCCTCTGGAATCAAATCTAAATTTTAGCTCAGTCCTGTCTCTTACAAAATGAATGACACTGAAAATAACCCACGTCTGGATTTTTCTCATTTGTAAAATAGGGTAAATAGTATCTACTTCCTAAAATTGTCATGAAATGAAATAAGGCAATACATAATAAGCCTTTTAGAAAGGTTCCCTGGCACTTGGTAAACACTCAATAGATATTAGCTCTGTTATAATTAATTGCTCTATTATCTCCAGCATGTATCCCTCTGGATATTGTATAACCCAGATTTAACGATCTGAAGTGAGTATTTCCAAAAACCAGTATCTTGATTACATTCAAAAGATTATACTAGGACTAGGCAGGCTAAACTATAACTAGAAATACTAGATATGAAATTTCAGGAATCACCCATCCAATTTCATTTATTTCCCTACCTTCTATAAGCGGATAATCTGATCATTCAGAAATTCTTTTCTTGAGCACCTGGGTGGCTCTGTTGGTTAAGTGTCCAACTCTTAATTTTGGCTCCAGTCATGATCTCACAGTTCATGGCATCGAGTCCTGCATCAGGCTCTGTGCTGGCATTGTGCAGCTTGCTTGGGATTCTCTCTCTCCCTCTCTCTGTCCTTCCCCCACTCATGCTCTCTCTCTCTCAAAATAAATAAACATTAAAAAAACTATTTTCTTAACTCTGATCCCCTGGAAATTAGTGAAACATTTCTTATCTCTAGAAAAAAGGAAATAATACAGAAACAAAGCTCATTAGATTTAAGACACCCCAGCCTCCACTTCTCTAGAGTCCTACTACTCCAAGAAATAGAAACAGATCTAGAAAAAAAAAAAGGAAAAATAGAATTTTCATGCACCCTAAGATTTAATACCATTTCTCTCCTCTAAAAGGAGCAGTATCAGGAGGAGGTTGGAAGATAGAGGCAGAGTAGGAGGACCCTAGGCTTATGTCGTGAATACAACTAGATAACTATCATTATCATCCTAAATACCCCAGAAATTGACTTGAAGACTGGCAGAACAAACTCCACAATTAAAGGGCGCCTGGGTGGCTCAGTTGGTTAACCAACCAAATCCTAGTTTCAGCTCAGGTCATGATCTCATGGTTCGTGGGTTTGAGCCCTGTGTCCAGCTCTGCACTGGTAGCACAGAGAATGCTTGAGATTCTCTCTCTCTCCTTGTCTGTCCCCCACTTGCATGTGCACACACTCTCTCTCAAAATAAATAAACTTTTTTTAAAAACATTAAAAAAATAGACTTTAGATTTTTGTAGTCTAAGAAGTTCAAGGCCATAGAAGTAAAATGTCCTAGGTTTGTGAACTGATGCTAAAGGCTAATTATGTCAAAGAGCACCAATAAGACTGCAAACTACATCCTTTATTCTAAGTACATTTTAAAAAAAATTTTTATTTTGTTTGCTTTTATTTATTTTTGAGAGAGAGACAGAGGGCGAGCAGGGGAGGGGCAGAGAGAGAGGGAGACACAGAATCTGAAGCAGGCTCCAGGCTCCAAGCTGTCAGCATAGAGCCCGATTCAGGGCTTGACTCATGGACCGTGAGATCATGACCTGAGCCAAAGTCAGATGCTTAACTGACTGAGCCACCCAAGTGCCCCTCTGGTAAGTATATTTTTAAAGGAGGTTATGGAGTTTTGTAGAAGTGACAGAGAATATAACAGAGTTCAATGGTGAGATTCAGGAGGCATATGAGAGGAGGAAGAATCCTATTTTTTCCATTGTGTCTATTTTGATGCCCACCCCCAACTGCTTTGCCTATTATATTGGCAACATTTTTCCAGATCTAGTCAATGCCTCTCAAATTCTTGGTTCTTATGGGCCCAGCACTCAAGAGTTGTTTTGAGGGGAAAAAGTAAAATAGAGGAGTTACTGGAAACCTCTTGGAAAGAGACATTTGCACCTCTGACTCAAGATAGACTGTTGTTTTTTTTTATTTCTCCAAAAAACCAACACTTTTAAGTAAGTGTCTCAAGTAAAGGGGCTGGGGCTAGATCAACTCTGATTTTTATGTTGAAAGATGTCTGCATGCAACTATCAGCCCTTCCACGTCAGGGTGGAGAACTCAAAAGAATGTATTACCTGCAGATGCGCTAGCCCTAGATAGGCATTCAAAGGGATCCAGGCTGAAGTAGCACATGCATATGAAAGCAGGGAGACAGGGCAGTTTGCTAGTGAAATTCTAAATTAGGTTTGGAAAACTAAACAAAGTATATTAGGGCTGAGGATGCTCCCCACCCCCACCTCCACCCAGCTATTAATATTCTCTTGTGGATTATCTTTCCTCCCTTTTATTAATTTTTGTGCCCAAAGAATAGGTAATGGAAATATACCAAAAAGTTATTTCGTGGTAAAAAGATGAGATAATGCCTTAGGAAGAAGTGAAAAGGAGTTTATTTAACATATCAGCTTCCTTAAGCAGGAAAACTTAAGGATTGGCATCAAACAACAAAGAAATGTTAGCCCCACATGCTTCTGATGTAGGATGGAATGACAAAATTGGCTTAAAACCAGAAATTGGGGAAAGCTGGCTTCTTAACTCCTTGACTCAATTTATTGGAAAACAGGGAAAAAGACAATTCTGAAGAATTATTTAACTCACATGCTGGATAGCAGCACTTATAATATGTGCTCCTCTCCTATAGCAACAGATACTTGTGGCCAAAAATTACTGTAAGGAATATCCTACCAAAATTTTCAAGTAGACTTTTCCCCTGCCAAACACTAAAGAAATGCAGGAATCAAATCACCTAGAATCACTAGGCCAGAAAATTAGCACAATGTAGAA